AGAAAGAAGCTTTTCTCCACTCGGGGCTGGAATTTTCCCCATAAGAAATTAAAACCTCAGGCATGCCCCTCATAAAGGGGTCTGAATTTACCCTGCCAGCATGAGGTAGAAAAAGCTAAGCTGAAAAAATATAAAGATTCATCCCAGATAGCTGAGATCCCTGAGCCACAAGCAAAATTCCTCTAGAGGCATAAGTGGGACTTTTATTTAAAAATAAAAGTGGGCTGGGGATGCAGCTCAGTGCTGGAGCACTTGACTAGCACAGCAAGGCACGTAACTAGCAAGTCAAGGAAGGATTGAGGCCCCCCTGGACTACATAGTGAGTTCAAGGCCAACTGTATCACCTAGTGAGGCCCTGTTTCAAAAATAAATAAATAAATAAATAAATAAATAAATAAATAAATAAACAACAATAACAAAAAGCTAGAGAAATTCCCATTAAAATAAAATCACCAAACATAAGGAAATTATCTACAGTGAGTATGATACTTTATAGAGCACAACAGTCAAAAAAATTAGCACCCTCAATACTTCAGAGAACATTTAAGTATATTGAAATAATCATTCTGAATGTATTTTTTATAAAGCACATTGAAAAGAAAAGCAAAGGAACTTTTAGTCTCATACCAAATAGAACCTTTAGAAATAATAAACTTAAATGACTTAAACTTAAAATACACTGAATGAGTAATAGAGCATTATAGACACAAGCAGTTGCTCAGGATGCATCCAGGAGAGATGAGGTAAGGAAAACACGAGGAAGGTAAATCCACATAAGGAGTGAAATGAGAAGGACCAAAGCGTATTTTATAGGCGATACAGAGAAAGTCGTCAGAGAAATGACGCAGAGGCAGTGTGTGAACTGCTAAGAATTCTCCTGAATTGAAGGATATGTCCTCAGATTTAGGAATCAGAACAACTCTCCCTTCCTTTGGTACAGTTCGGTAACAGCTAATAAACTCGGAGCAGGGCCCCCAGATGCACACCTGGAGAATGTCACACCCACGCGGACAAGGTGGCATTCCCAAGCATGTTTAGGATAGCACTGCCTGTAAGAGAAACCGAAAAAGGAAACTAAATTGTCCATCTGCCCAGCAACCAACAAACTGTGGCTTCTTCTTTCTTACACTGGAATACCACAAAGAAGATAAAATAAACCATAGCTACCTATATTAGTAATGCTGAATAAAACAGCCAGTTACAGAAGGATAAGTGTAATCCAATATAATTTATATAAATTTTAAATATATATAGGGTAACACTATATCCTCTAAACAGATGCACACAAATGTAGTAAGACATAAAAGTATGCATGGACGTGCTCACATCAACTTCAGGAGATTCTGGGGTATGACAGATATCACCAGCATTTTAAGTTTGGTTGAGATCTTCATGAATTGCTTTCTGTAATTAGAACAAGAGCAAGGAGAAGGGATTTCATAAGGGTTGATTCTGAACTGATGTCACAGGAGGTAGCTGATATACAGGTCTTGCACAAGTCACTTGGTCCCCACGCCTGTTTCTTTCATTTTGAGGTTCCTGGAATAAATCATCACAACTGCACTCTAACTTTGCCTCAGAATCTCACTGTCAATCAAGGCAAATGGCAAAGATACTTGTTTTTGTTTCCATTACTGGATAAAAGAAAACACAAGTTCAACTGGAATAGAGATTCCTTTTTTTTTTCCAGCCAGTGAATTTTCATGAGTATCGCAAGTCTGTTCTTCACAGATGTGTCTCATTATTACACACACTGGAGCTTTGCAGCAAAGTACGTACTTGAACAGCACACTGCCTCGGAGGGAGAGAAGTTGTGACCCTCCTGAGAGGGAGCAATGCACTCGGCACACATATCTTAAGACAGCGGAGATAAAGGCCTGTCCTGCTTCTCCCGAGGCATTCCCTGCATCCCAGGGTAGTGATTGTTCCTTCTCTTCCTTACCACAGGAGAGGAGACAGACTGTCAGTGTGCACAGAAAAACTCGGTCTCTTAATTTCAAGGTTCCTCTTCCTTGTGTCGTAACCTACTCCAAACACAGGCCACATCTGAAGCTCATCACCCTGCCCTCTGGCAATGAAGTGGCGAAACCAACACAATATTGCCATGGCTGATGCTTTTATTGTGGATAACAATCTATGTTCCTGACCCAAGGCTCTTGTGCCTTTGTGTGTGTGCATGCCTGTGTGTGTAATTGTTGCAGACTAACTGATTACCCTGATAGTAGTATAATTCTCAGATTTTACCCTGGCGTGGTAGCACACACCTGTAATCCCAGCAGTTGGGAGGCTGAGGCAGGAGGCTAGTTGCGAGTTTGAGACCATCCTGGGCTATATAGTGAGTTCAAGGTCAGCCTGAACTACATACTGAGACCTTGTCTCAAAAAAACCACTAAAATCTCAGATCTTTTACAGCTGTGACTTAGCAGAGAAGCAAAAAAGACTGAATGGCATAACAGACAGCGCTTCTAAGTGCGATTTCATCTTAAATGTAGAACTGTTCTTTACATTGCTGGTACCAACACTGTATAAAAACTACAGGCATGGCAAAGCAAGCAAAGAAATAGCAAAGCAAAACAGACTTAGAAGGATATGTCAGAGAGAACTGAAGATAATACAGTTTGGCTACGTTTCTTTGGATGATCTAAAGACATAGCAATAAGATTTGTAGTTTTTAGAGACAGCAGTGGTTAAAAACAAGGCATTTTTTACTTCCCTAAATATCAGGTATTATAAAGGAACCTGTAATAAATGTTCTCAGGCAGCTTGTATTTGAAATATCTGCTGTTTTGGAAAATGTCAAAGCTGGGCGTGTTGGTGCATGCCCGTAATCCCAGTACTCAGGAGGCTGAGGCAGGAGGATTGCTGTTTGAGGTCAGCCGGGGCTATGTAGTAAATTCAAGACCCAGCCTGAAATACATAGGAAGACCCTGTCTCCAAAAAAAAAGAGAAAAAGTCAATATCTTTGCCTAAAGAAATTAATTTTGATTCTTCAAAAATTAAAACTAGAAATTCCATCTGACACAGTTATTCCTCTTCTAGGACTCTTCCTGAAAGAGTTAAAGACACATATTGAAGTGATATATGCATACCCACATTTATAGCAGCCCAATTCATAATAGCTTGATCTGGGAAACAGCCTACATGTCCATCAGCAGATGAATGGATAAAGAAAATGTGGTATTTACACACAATGGAGCACTACTCAGCCATAAAGAAGGGTAAATTTGAGTCGTTTGTAGGTAACTAGATGCACCTTGAGACTGTAATGTTAAGTAAAATCAGACACATGAGAGTCAGTATCACGATTTCCCTTACATAAGAGACCCAAAGTATAAGTAAAGACAAAAATAACCTAACCTGGCCTAACCTAACCTAGCCTAGCCTGGCCTGGCCTAATTTGAGCATCACAAACAGGGAGATGGCTCCCCTGAACATGGGAAAGGGAATGAGAGAGGGAAGGAGGGAAGGGCGGAGGCGGCCAGGGAGGTAAAAAGGACTAAGATGTGTTCTAGACACATATCCGCTCCCCACAGCGAGCGTAATCATTATGCACAGCAAACACAACATTAAAACTTGTGTTTAAAGACTCCTACACAACAGGATGTTCGTTAGACGCTTGATTTGGGCCATCTGCCATTCATTTTCGCATCTTACATACAATCAGATTTGCGTTGGGGGCCCACTCTCCGCGCCCCTCTCCTGTCACGGGATACAGACTGCAGCAGGGAGCGCGGCGCAGGTCGATCCTGCATCCCGTTCCCCCGGGTTAGAAGCAAGCCCTGAGAGGTGCACCGGGCCCCAGGGAAGCCGAGGACTTTGCTGGGACACTGCAGCCAGGACTGTCTCTCTCCCACTGTGCTGGAGCCTGGAAGGATGTAGCCCAGGGATCGGCTGCAATTCACCAAGGGAAAGCCAAACTCCCAGTGCATAGAGCAAGCAGAACCAAGAAATGGAAAGAAAGAAACAGGACCAGCTGCCTCGGGAGCTGAAGGACTCTGAACGGTTTACAGCACAGGCTAACACATCTCCTTCTTTTGGCCTCACCTAATTGGAGCCTGGCTTTCTCATCCTCCAGTGACGGGGATGAGATGCCAGACTTGCAAGACTGAATTTTTTGTTGTGAAAATCTAGGCTATTTCAAAAAATGTACATATTGAAAAACCTAAAGCTCTTTACTACAAAGCTTAGGAAAAGAGAAAACAGACCTGAAGAAAATTGAACCTGAACATTTTTTTTGTTTTGGGGGGCTTTTTTGTTGTTTGTTTGTTTGTTTTGAGACAGGGTCTGGCTATGTAGTTCAGGCCGGCCTTGAACTTGTAGCTATCCCCCCATCTCAGCCGCCCTAGTGCTAAGCCTACAGGCATGTACCACCGTACCCGGCCCAGGGCCTAAGAAGTTATTAGAGCTGTTTCCCTTAACAAAATATAACAGAGCCTCAATAAAACAATGCATAAAATGTAATATGAAATGTATTTAAATATTGATGGTCTATCTTGATGAGTTAACTATACTCAATATATTATGCTAAGCAAAGATTATCTTGGAAACCTACAATGTTATCAGCGGAAACAAAACACAATCTTTTTCCCTTTTTCTTTCTTTTTTTAACAGACAGGTTCTCACTATACAATACTGGTGCAATATACTTTGATTCAAGGGATTCTCTTGCCTCAGCCTCCAGCTTCAGTCTCACCTGGCCCAGGAAAACACAGTTATTTTTACAACTTGGTGTAGGGTTGCTTTCAGGTTTGACTCAAATAGTAGCTTACACACTTGTGTTTAGTTTGAACAATCTGAGGTTGATAGTAGAAAAAAAGGTCCACATTACTCCCCCTTTGGGATGTATGCAAACCATAAGATACCGAAGAAAGGCCCAACCACTCATTCATCTCTCCAAGTAAGCTGTTGCCCGGAGGATGACGTCATGTCCTAGTTTTTCAGTTTCCAGACCTCGGAGTTTCTGGAGCAGGGTCCCTCCCGTCCCCGGGGGTACCGCTCACCTGCTTGGGGCCCGGCGGGGGCGCGAGGAGCTGGTGCAGCTGGCGGCGGGACAGGGCCCGCAGCTCCGCCAGCCTCCCCGCCAGCCGCGGCCGCAGCAGCCCCGCCAGGGCCCCGGAGCACCAGGACAGGCCGCTCAGCCCTCGAAACCAAGGTCCAGGGCGGTTCTTGGTCAACGCCGCAGCCGTTCTGATTTTTGATGTTTTCTTCGCAGGTTCTTCTTTCTGAAACAGAAGCCTTTGAAAGTAACTGGGCGACTCCACTGGGTCACCAACCTACTTTCGAAGGGCAAGCACGAGGCGTAGGGCCACCAATGTCCCGCGTGTCCTGCACAGCGATCGTCCTGTGTGGGCCCCGGTGGCTCATTGCCCCCCACACTTAAATCTGTACATGAGCATATTTTTTCTTTAGGGTAAATATCCAGATTTGAAGAAACTAGCCAAAAGATAGAATTTTTCATTTTTTTCTCTGGGCTTATCTCTTTTTTTGCATTGATTTTTAAAGAGCGCGTGAAGTAAATAATTCTTAATTCAACATCATTCAACATTCATATTATTCAAACGGTAGTACATATTCAAAACTGTCACAGGTATTTTCCTAGTTTACTTTTTAAAATCTTAAAAATGATAAAACAGAACATACATATAGTATATATAAATATGTGTGTAATGCAAAGCAAACTAAACAAATGCCCTTTATGCTAAGCAATAAGCTTAAGAAATTTTTACTTCTCTAAACTTCAAAAATTCTATCAGTATTCTGATAAAAAATTATGGCAAATCAGGTGCAGTGGCTCACATCTGTAACCTCTGCACTCAAGAGGCTGAGGCAGGAGGGTCCTTTCAAGGTTGAGGCCAGCCCGCACTATAAAGTGAAACTGTCTCAAAAAAATGGCATTACCAAAACTCATGACATGTAATTCTTTCTTTGCTGTACTGGAAAGCGAACCATGGGGGAAATTACTTACAATGTGGTTAGGTTGCATTCCAGACAGCAAACAAGTACCGTTCCCGTCATTCATTTAAGTAATTTTACGGCCTATTCTGAGGTTTTAGTATATAGCTTGGGGACAAGTATTGGTTCATAAATCTTGGTTAAAGACAAGTAATTTTTATTTGTTTTTTATAAGACACGGTCTCACTATGCAGTTCACGCTGGCCTTGACACAACCCACTTTGGTAGCCCAGTGATCCTCCTGCTTCAGCCTCGGAAGGGCTGGATTTATGCACCACCAAGTCTGGCTCAAAATAAATAATTTCGAATCTCTAAGTATTTGTTCAGCCTAAATACTGAAATACAAAATTTCTTTTAAATGGGTTTTTTTGCCAATAATTCCTCAAATTTTAGCCCCAAATAATTTACTATTACTTTGTCATCCACCTCAGCACTTCTCGCGCTGTTCCGCTTTATCATTGCAGATAACGCAAAGCTGCGCAGTCTCTCAGGGAGGACGCGGTTCTGCAGCATCCGGGGTCCCGTCGAGGTTTAACTTGTTAACTTCTCTGAGAAGAGTCCTCTGGTCGGCCTGTGGCCTGGGCCCTCCTAGTCTGCACTAACAGTAGAGAGCGCATCTGAATTGCGGGCGCTAAAACTGCCAGTCTCAAAGCACCGGCGAGAAAGCAGTCCTGAAAGCAGTTCTGTGGCCGCTGGAAGGAGCGGGGTAACACTCGGGTGCAATCACCTCCTCACCTCCTCTGAGCCCACCCGGGAGAGACCCATAGTTCCAGCGGCGTCCAAAGCTCCAGCACACAGTGTGTTTTTCTTGTGACTCTGCGCTTTGCTACCCTGATCTCCTCCACCTCCTCCAGGTAAAGCAGCTGAAATTAGTTAGGTTTCAATCTAACTACGATTTGCTACTGTTTGTTTTAGGAGTGGGACCTATGGAACTTTGTGGCAGCCGCCTAGCCTGCAGTACAGGCCCCTTGCTAATGCTCTGTAGTTTCCCCCTCCCTCTTTTTTTTTTTTTTCTTTCTTTTTTTTTTTGTCTTTTTGAGA